TACCAAAATATGTTGTCTCGGTAGACCGTACACTAGGTTCTGAACTCATTCTCCACTACATGAGCAGTCAAGCATTTAATGTCAATGCGTCATAATAAGCGCAAAACCACATTCTGCAATTAGCTGTGGTGTGGTCAGACGCTCCGGCAATGTGACAGAAATGCATCATCTCAAATCCTGCTGGTCATTTGAGTTCTTGCTCCAACCTGTCTGTCACAAATCAATGTACATCACATCCATCACTGCTTGGCAGAGAGTCTCTAGGAGGAAAGAAATAGGGCAGCACAGAGAGCTTGTGTCTCACTATCTTGGCAGACATTAGGAGCACATGCAATTACTGTTAGATTTAAACCACCCTCCAGTGTTACTCAGGGCGTCAACATCAAAATGGACCTCTCAGACAATCTCGCTCTCCTCTGACACAACGTCTGGACTTTAATCCTCGCTGATGGCTCGAAAAACTTTTGCAACGGGTCAGAAATATGAGATTCAATGCACAAATTTCTAATCCAGACAAAAATAAGTGCATTGAAAATAACACACTCAATTAATTGCTCCGCTCGCATTGCATTGAATTCAGATTGCGTAACCAATTCAATATGAGCGGAAATAGTTATGATATTAGACAACTAAAAGGGGTGATTTTTTCAGAGAATGTAATTATCGTTCGCATTAAATCGTAAAATACAATTAAGGGAAACAAGCGTAGTCCTGAAATAGTCAGAGGAAAAAGCTATCTTAAACACTGATTGTTTTATTAATTGCTTTTTGTTTCTTTTAGCAGCAATTACCCGGATTTCTGACCTCATACTCCCTCTGCGCTTCACGGCGAACCGCTGAGGCCGCCACATTCGGTTTCATTCACTTTTGTGACTATGCTACATGGCCTGCACCGCTTCTCAGGCGTGAAAATTCACTTTTTCTGCATGACAGATTTAGCTGCATGATAGGCCAGGATAATACTGTAATGCAGATGTGTATAATGAGTAATTAACCAAGTATGAAGTCTTTGACTAGGAACACCATTAAAACCTTCACCCCCGAGCCCTTGAGCGAGGTCGCTGTGGCAACCCTCCCTTTGGCATCTGAGAGGTCACGTGGTTAAAGAATAATTGACTCTTAGACCGAGTGTCACACGCGAACACTCGCTTCCAATACTGTGAAATCCCCACAGAAAGAGGAAATTATTCCAAAATGAAGACACATTTATTAGACCCTCAAAGAAAAAAGGCCCTGTGGAGATGGGATCGTAATTCTGAGTTATTGCTTTATGCTTTTGTCGTGTTGTGCGTCTGCATACTCAATACATGTGGCACACCTTCAAAATTAATTGTTAAAAATTCATAACCCGTCCCATTTTTCTACGTTGACATCTAACAAATTATTAAATACAGACGTAAAAATTCAGAAAAAGAATAATAATGATGCTGCTTTCCATTCTGGGGTGAGCTGAACCGAGTGCATTTTTCATAACAGACCACAAGGTCAGCCAGTTCCCAGGCATTTCCCAGAATTCAATGCATGCA